TTTTCGCAAGCACAACACCCGCGGCCCTGGCGTCGACGACCACCTTTACCGTAGAATGCACAAGTGCACCAACGACAATTGAAACCTACCTTCAGACTTTCACGGTCTATGATATCGGTGTAACGACAATCACTTGCGACGTCCCCAAACCCACAACTGTCATCGTCGACTGCACTAGTGCACCATCAACGGTCTGGACTTACGATCAAACCTTCACCGTCACCGAAATCGGCACGACAACAATCTACTGCGACATCCCAATCTCTTACCAAGCCATCACTACGACTTCGACCTGCGGATGCACAGAGACTATCACCGAGACTATCACCGAGACTATCATTGAGACTATCACCAAGACCATCATCGAGATAGTGGAGCGGTAATGCGGTACATAACAAATTGGTCCCACGTCTTCTCCACCATCGGCAAAGGTGTGGTGTGGGTCGTAGCTTGTTTGGCAGGTTGAGGATAGAGCCTCAAGAGCCTCAGAGGCCAGTCTACGACTCCACATTCGACTCTCACCAGCGGCGTTATAATCTCTCGGATCCTTGATGGACAGCTTTAAGCAGGTGCAAAGTACATGCGCGCAAGGAGTGCAGCTCCAGGCCGTTTGAATTGAGATACTTCTACCCCAGTGCTTGTATTAGCTGGGAGTTTCGCAGATTTTTGCGCTATGGATGAATTTGTAGGGGTTTATATTCAGAGGAAATAGCTGGAAGGCACATGATGCTAAATTGCGAGAATGTATAAATGTTTATTCCGTATTACCATTGCCTTCCAAGTGACTTTAGAGAGAAGTTTCTCTTGATCTAAACTTTGATGCTCCGGAAAGCGTGACTTGGCGTTACTTTCGCGACTTGCTTCACGTTAGGCTAGACGATTTACGTCATCCATTTGTTTTGACCGCTGTGCGCAGCCTCGTGCTCGTGTCGCGCAACAAATCAAAACATCCATCATCTTCCCTGGAACTAACAATCTCACCCAATTCCCTACACCACCCTCTCGTCCTCCTATTCTCCCATCCACCATCAAACTACCACAAACATGCCTCCCAAAGCCAAGCCTGCTGCCGCCATCTCCCAAGTCTACGTCTTATCCAGCGACGGTGACATCGACTCTGTCCACGCATCTATCGACTCAGCCAACGAGCGCATCGATGAGGCAAAGGCCGAAGGATCCAACGACGTCGTGATGGAGGTACAAGAGCTGCAGGGCGGAAGCATCCAAGTTAACCAGAAGACGCCCGCCGCCAAGCCAAAATCCAAAGCCAAGGCCAAGGTCAAGGCACCCAAGGACGAAGAGGACGAAGATGAGGACGAGGACGAGCCTCCAAAGTCGAAGACAAAGCCTGCTGCCGAGCAACGTGCTGCAAATTCGGCCAAGGGCAAGGCCACCAAGTCTGCAAATGAAGACCTGCCAGAGAATGTGCAGCATCTACTCGCAAACCCAAGCACTGCACTGGCTGGCTTCATCGTCGTGGTCACCGGCGTTCCTCCAGTTTGTCATGCGCTCCCTTCTTGCCGAATTAATACTGACATTCCTATCACCAGACTATAGGCCGAAAGAATGCAGAGAAGCTGGTCGAGACACACGGCGGCAAGCTTGGAAAATCCATCACCGGCAAGACGAGCTACGTCGTCCTTGGAAACGACGCAGGTCCGAAGAAGCTGGAGCAGATTGAGCAACACAACATTGAAACCCTGGATGAAGATGCTTTGATCGAACTGCTTGAGGGTAGGCTAATGCTACAATACAACTAATGGAACTTTGCTAATAACCCGATAGGTGGCGGCGCCTCATCGAAAAGAAGTGTAGAGGATAACGACGAGAAGCCTGCGAAGGCGAAGAAGCAGAAGAAGTGATAGGACGATGTTTCTCTGTACGATAACACTGGCATACTGGCATACTGGCATATGGTTACGATATGAAGGATTGGGATCTGGCAGTAGCTGTATAAAAGTTGAGCGAAATGAATTCAATGAATATTATGGCACGTGAAAGATTCTACACCCCTCTTTCCCTGTCATAGTGATGAAGTGGCTGAGTGAAGTTTCAAGTTGGTTTGAACTAGCAGCCGCTTCATAGCAACAGTGATAGTGACGATGTTGGGCGAGTTCAGTTGAGAGATCCCGTCGCATGATATGAAATGCAGCGAGATAGCTCTGCAATACCTGAAAGGTGAAGCCAAGTGCGTCGCTATCGATCTGAGATTGTTGTGGCTAGGAAAATACAAATACTTTCTACCTCCAGGAATCCGGTTCTCCATTTGGTCTACGGATGGTCGAGAATTGGTGAGTCACATTCCTGGTGTCTGAAACCTACGTACGTATAGACTTTTTTACTTGTTTTGGCTTAGTATCTTGCACTTTTCAAATCTAAATAGTAAGCAATCCAGTCCATTGTCTTTGCTAATTGAGCGAATGGCGGCTGCATCAACTGTTGAGTGGTTGTTGACAGTATGTCACTAACTTAAAGCTACTGGCAGCGTTTCAACCCTCCTATCCAGCCATAAAATTGACCACTGGAGTGGAATGCATGCCTTATTTTTCTAGCAGGATTGGAGTGGAGAGATGCAAATATACTTGTGGAGAGCTCTCCACTCTCCTCCCTATCCTAGTTGGCAGGATAGGAGATCTGATTCGCTGGCTACTGGAAGTTCAAGGTCACGGGGAATCTTCTGTCGGTTCATTAAAGAAGCAAACTTTATATCGGAGCTTCCTAGCATAAGTATTATCTTCAAAGATAGCAAATCCTTTCCAAGTGAAAGTATTCAGGTTGCCAGTCCTTCCACTCTCCCCTTCAAGTCGCTCACTTGATTCTGAAACTCGGTCTGCAAGTTCGCCTTTAAAGTCAACGTTAATAATGCTCCCGCTCCATAATACGTTTCCCAACTAACGCAGTTCGTCGTTCCATCACCTAAGTCCTCCAAGACAGTAACATGCTCAGCATTCATCAGGACCCCAACCAGAGCTCCTTCATCATATCGCCACGCTACGAATGATGGCACGGCGTCGGGTTCGAGAAACGTGATGCGTTCATCAGAAGTGCTATTGATCCCGAGTAATAGACCCGAACTATGAAATGTCATAGGCATTCCGACATATACATCCTCGGTCGATGAGACATTGGAGGGCAGGTCGACGGAGTAGACGAATGTGTTCCAGGCGGGATAATCAGAAAAGTCGAGCAGAACATCATACACCGCAGATGGAGAGTTATTGATTGTAATCTGGGCGCAGGCTGTAAAAACCGCATCCGTAGTACCGAAGCTCGGAGTGGTCATCGTGCCGTTGTTGGGGACACAATTAAGCGGCAATGTCGAAGCATTTGAGGTGACGATGAGCAGGGTTAGCGGCAGCCATGTAGAGAGCCGCATAGTGAGTGTATGTAGATGCTGTTTGTTTCATTCGGTATCAACAACAGGAGGTTGAAATAGGAAGCATTATGTTAGGAAATTTTAATCTGTAAGTTTTCCGATTTCGGTAAAGACTGTACAGATAATGTGACCCTGATGCGGGGTTATGAAGCGATGCAAACCAGCTCTATTCTTATCTCACCGCGATAAACGTAGCTGATTTTTATTTGGATTTAAGAACTCATTTAGGTCTTATTATTAGTCGCTGCAATTATGCACCTTGGCTTGTTATACAACAAGCCTCATCTTGGCACAAATCAGCACATTTTCCGCTTGTAAGGGGTTCGTCTGATTTGCTCCTATTTACATTTGAATTGGAAGTATAAATAGCCGCTGAATACCTATTCGTTCGCTTTTCTATTAAATTAGATGCGATGCAAGGCAACGCTGCAATGACAGGGAACTGGGGAGATTAGACGCTCAGCTCTTAAGCTTACCTGTGCGTTGAGCTCAACTGCGCCTCTGTTCCCCTGTGTTCCTAGACGATAGGGGGTTTATGATTGGTGCACGGACTAATAGTGGCATTCACACAGGATGGATAGGAGAATTCTCACATATGAAAGACGGAGCTACGACTTACCTTTTTTGATGGTCTCAATTCTTGGATTCGTCTTTTATCATCACTCTCTGTTCAAGTCTCCTGTTAGTCCTAGCCTAATTATATACTTGCATTTGTGTCTTTTACACACCCGCTAAGTTGATGCTCGGGATCTTGTTTTAGGAGACTACAGGGCTGAAACAATGCACTACCAAAAACATCCCATCCCTCTTCTGGGCGTCCTAATATGCTTCTTGTCAGGTACCACGACTCTCGCGGGTACGTAGTATATTCAGAGCGTACCCGTTGCCTAACTAATCGAATACAAATAGCAGCACCGTACACACTAGCTGCAAGAACGGCCGCGCTCCAGAATTCGTCCTTTGTACCAACAAGTACATCGACAGGCAATGTCGCCATAATTACGAATCGACCGCCTCCTACTAATATACCACTAAGCTGTTATCCTCCAGAGCTCCAGACTACAATTCCTCGTTGGTGGGGTCCAAATATTGCGGATAATACGTGCACAACTGCAATGGACGATGGGTGTCCCCGCTGGAATCCATGTAACATATCTGTGGGGACCATACAATTACTCTACTGGTCTACTGCTTCGAACGAGACCTGGACTCAACCCACCACTCTATATGACAGTGCCTATGATTTTACATTGTATGATGTTCCAGATCCCATTCAGCAAAAGTATGTTACTAAGTTAATGACAGCACATTTCCATCTATCTACATGGTATATCATGCTATTACCGCTTACAATTCTTGTAAAGGAAATAGTCGAGCACCAATTGGACCTACCCGTATGTTGTCCACATCAATTTCATGTACTAAGAGGCGAAATAGCCCACCGTCAAAGGCGGGTGCGAACTGAAAGTAACTAAACCTTGACCTTCTAGTAAGAAGTGCAATTCAAGACTGGGCTCTCACTGATGTTAGCACTATGATACCGCACATATACCCCGAACAGCCTGGGTCTATGACGGACCCTAGGCAGTTCAACCCGGCAGACTTATATAATTGTACATCGACCTCGTCCGCATACACGTCAAGCGATATTTATGGGGACCCGGGACCTTATGCCACAGGACATCGCTGTAATCCTTTTATCAGTATTTCAACGCGTGTGCGCTGGCTAGGCGAGCCTTACTGGAGAAGCTGCGGCATAGATAATGTCGCCTCTAGGGCGTTTGATCCTCCATATGCTCTGCAGAGGCCTACAATCATGGCTCCCTTTTCCAATGCCGATCCCGCTACCACAACTATTCCAAGTGCAGTTTTGGATACAACATTGGCCCTAGATACTACCCCGGCCACAGATTCTTCACCAATATCAGCCACAGATCCGCCAGAGACGGTGTCAGTCGTTCCCATAGTCCAAAACAATATCCCAACTACAGCGGCAAAGATTTCTGCATCATCCTCCGTAGCAATATCGCAACAGATGACGCTTACTATTAGCCCTCCGTCGCCAGTTATAAACCCATCACAGCAGACAACACCTTCAACTTCCACAGCTGAAGAGGCCATTTCAACTCAAGCGGCAAATAGCAATCCAGTGGCACAACAAAACTATCCATCACCGAGCCTTAACAGCGCTACCCCCATAGTTGACAGTATCGTAACCACGCAAACTAGCCCATTGAACCCTATTCCTGGGATTGCTACAGACTTCGCATCTGCACAGAAGCAAGGACAAGGAAGCAATATAAACAGTATAACTATCCTTAACGTCCCCAATGCAGTACCCGCCCCTTCCTCAACAATACAGATCGCCGACGCCGCACAGCCAATCACATATCTAGGCGCAACACTTGCTTATTCCTCTCCCATCGCTACGATTTCTTCGCTGAACATTGTCATTAGCTATGAGTCCCAGGGTGTTGCGATTCAGTATCCTGGTGGTAGCGTTTCGACTGTCGCTGTTCAGGGACCTGTTACTTCTACCTCTACCTCCATTTCTTCTTCGGTTTCCGGGTCTGGGAAGCCGGGTATGGGGGGTGGAAGTGTTATCGGTGGAGTAGCAGCATTGTCTCTAAATACAGCTGGAATATCGTCTTCTAGCACAGTACTTGGAGGAGGACCAGCAGCTGTGATTGCCTCGGTCATTTACGGTGTCATGAATGGAGGTTCAAAGTCAATTTCCCCGGTCACGAACACTATATCGGGGACTATGACTGTAGCTGGAATGAGCAATGGAGGGTCGACGCCAGTCAACGCAGTCACAAATACTCCATCGGGAACTAGGGAAGCGCCTGGGGTGGGCAATGGAAGTACTAAGGTGCTGGCAACTGGGACGAGTACATTTGAGAAGGCATCGACGCCTTCGCCATCCGTAGTTTTAGCAAGTGATTCTATAAAGAAAAATGTAGGAATCATGTGGATTTTTATAGGGGTTGGTTATATATTAGTTATAGTATAATAGTAATAAAGAAGCTAATTTAAAATATGAATTTTCTATATATTAAAGCTAAAGAATCTAGTATAATAAGGAGGATTAGTTAGCATAAATTATAGAGGCTTCTATCCTCTATATAAGATCTTCTAGTTAGAGGCGTTCTAGCTATAACTAATATATATACCTTTTCTTTAAACTATCTTTTATAACTACTTTCTATTCGGCTTATATAAACTATTATAATAAAACTGCTATTTCTTAGAGATGTGATATACTTTATATTAGCACTTTTATAATAGAATTTCTATTAAAAGTAATTATAAACTAGTTTTATATAAAAGGTTTATTATAAATCTAATAGAAAACTAATAATATTTATTATATATATATTATATCTATCATAAGGCAAATGCTAAGTATATAGAGCAAAAGCCTGAATTTAATATAAGAAGAATTAACTAAAAAGAGAAGAGAAGCTTCTCTTATTAGAACTATTAAAAGAGGTTCTCTAGCTTCTAGAGGAAGCGAGATTACTATTATATTATATATATAAAGTTATATACGTAGGCATCATATGCTAAGCCTTAATATTAGATGCAACCTACCTCTTATACAAAGGCGCTCTCTAAGTTAAAATGCAGAAGTGCAGCTGCGCGATTGGCTCAGGCGCAGCTAACTAAGCGTTTTCAGATAAGAGTATATTAAGTTAGAGTGCACTTTACCTCGCCTACCTCTATAGGCCTTTTAAATAGACTATAAGCATATAATATTTATCTATAATCTTAAGGTTAAAAGGTTTATATTTATTGCTAAACTACGTGTAATAATATGCTATAATATTAAAGGTTCTATAAGTTCTATATTCTAAAACTAAGACTGTTTTATAAGTCCCCTCTTATATATTATAAGAGTCCTATTAATACTTCTTATAGTTTATTATAATATTATAATAATATCTAATTCTAGTTTAGTATAAATAAAGCCTAAAGTGGTCTAATAATTATCTATAGTAGTAATATAAATCTATTACTTATAAATATAGGTCTAAGAAAATCCATTCTAATCTCTATAAAGTTATCTAAATAAGTACGCCTAAGAGTTACTCTCTATTATTAGAGTAGAGTTATAGTAGAAGTAGAGTAATTAAAGTTATTTAAATATCTTATATTAAGATAGGATCTTCTAGATCTATAATTCCTACCTCTTATATAAGAGCGGTTTCTCAGCGAGGGACTAAAGCTGCAGGGCTATAATTAGCGCGTGCGCTGCTAACTAAGACGCTTTCTAGTAAGAGACCTATTTTAGTAAGTGTAAGGGGCGAGCCCTAGAGGTAAAGCACAGGCTATGCCCGTGCTTAGCTTACTAAGCCTTAACCGGGGAGCGCTTACTTTTCTTCGGATCTAGATAAAGATTCTTCTCTCTCTCTTTTATTAAACTTATTAAATACTATATTAAGCCTCTATATATATATGACTTACTTATAATATTAAGTTTAATTAATTATAGATTTACAGCTACCTATTAGCTTTATACTAGACCCTAGGTTAATACTATTAAGAAATAAAAGCCCTTAGCGTGATATATTAAACGCCTAACTACTAGCTGCCTTCTAAGAGATATATATGCGCTAATAATAGCTGGAAACTAAATTGTTAGAAACGCGTGCTGCTATAAATAACTAGGAGATAAGAGAAGCTTAGTAGGGCCTATTAGGGGACGCGCTAGTCTAGAGCGACCTTATAAGAGCTTTAATTAAGTTGCTCTTAGTAATAACTTATATAAGAACCAACTATAAACTATCAGGCCCTAGGGATTAGAAGCTGCTAATATAAGATAGCTAGGCAGAGGCCTTTTAAGATTACCTTCTAAGGCTTAGAAGCTTATATTATATTTATTCTAAAGTAAAACTAATACTTTCAGCTGAGTATTACTAGAATACTATCTATAACACCCTTCTAGCATAGGAGAGAGCTTAAATGTATTACTTTTAGGAAAAGGGGGACTCTATAAA